TAGTCGCCGCCTCGAACCAGGGGAAGTCCAAGATTCCCTGGGCCCGAGCCACAAGGTTGTCGCGGCCACTCTGGGAGGAGGACCACATGTGGGTGGAAGGAATCGAGCTGAAAGACCCCTCGAAGGTTGGAAAGGTTGACTGCCTACGTCTGTTGAAGCACTGGCGCACCCTCCAGGAAGGACCGCTGGGCCCCCGAGCATTCAAGCTCAGGGGTTATATTAAAGAAAACAAGTCAGCCAGCGGCGAGCAGGTTGTTGCGGCAGATCTGTACGAGGCCTATCTGAAGATGTGCAAACTGCGCTTCGACTCACATCAGAGGATGAGGGCAGCTAGCTCCGCCCAGCACGCCGATGACCCGCCTGACGTGGCTTCCCCCGAGACCTCCGGTCCTGGAAGGTTACCAGGGCAAAAGAACATCATTCCAGAGGCCGGTGAGTGTTATTTATGAAGAGTACAAGCGCAGGACTGAATGCACGGCCAGACGACGCGGTGGAGCGCATTGATGAATCTAAGACAGCAAAAACGGCCAAGACGGGTAAGGCGCGCAAGGCGGCCAGGAGCACCAAAGCGGCCACCGCGTTGAAAACAGCCAAAGCGGCGAAGTCGGTCACCAAGAACGATCGACGCATTGCTCTCGGAATGTCGAAGAAGCAGTTTGGGAAAACAAGACGAATGGAAGCCTCTGACGACAGCAGCGGGGAATCCGTCACCGATGAGGACTCCTGGAGCGGTGGGTCAGAAACCGAGCCTGCCCAGTCCCCTGACGTTGTCGGTGAGTTGGAGGAGGACCGTGACGGGAGCGACGGGGAGAGGCAAAGCGAGGAGGAATCTGTCAGCCCAAAGGCAGCCAAAAAGAGCCTGTTCCCCAACACTCCTCCCCCGGAAGGCTTAATGCCTATGGCACCTCTTGATGTCGAGACGGTCGGTGGCCGTCTTGACTTCCTTCGAGGACTGAGCAAAGACAAGACGTACCTTCAGGCCATCACTGCGCTGGATGTAGGGATGGAAATCAGTCGCACGGTACGTTAGTGCTCGCGCCCTAAGAAGCTGGCTAATGAGTTAATAGTTGGATCTTGCTCGCCTTGCGATCGATGATATCCCTGGTATACCGTGGGCGTCTTGGAGCTATCAGGGATGTCATCTCCCTGAAGAGGTACATTCCGAGGACGACGGTCTCTGGCCTCTTCTGGATTATCTCAACACCCCCTTCTACGGCAGCGACTCTGCATCTGGGGGAGTGAAGTGGGAACGAGTGGAGCAGGCTCTCCTCGCAGTTGGCTTGGCTCTGCGCGATCTCGACATCGTTCAGTTTCCATTTGATCCTGACGAGGATGAAACATCGTCCATCCATCCCATGTATATGTATGCGTCCAGCCTCACTTTCAAGACGGGCACCGAACTTCTTGGGCTGATTGCACCCCTATCAACGTTGTCTTCGTCACCCTTGGTACGACACCGCAGCCGCAAACCTGACCGTCCTGTGTCACCGTCTCAGGATCGTGCTGCAAACAAGACAACAAAGGTTCTTCCTCGCGCCAAAATCCGTGCAGCACCAGCAACCTCATCCACGGCCCCAGTTCCAGACGGGGCCTTGGCCAGTAACGCGGTCCGACCTGAGGGCCAGAAGCAGATGCAGAAGCAACATAACGGTTGGCGTAGCCGCCCTGTGTTGGCTCCCATTGGATTCGGATCTATTCCGCTTCGTGTTCCGGGCCTGGCAGACCCTGCTCACGTCGCTAATCCTCGAAATGCCGCGAGCCCCGCTTTGCCCGTCTTAGAGCAGGGTCCACCGTCTCAGGCAGCATCTGGATCTCGGATTAGGGCTGGAAAGCCATCGGGAGGTGGCAGCCCTCGTTTGGATGTACCTGCACCGCCATCCAACCCACGCAAGCGCAAGGTTGCTGAAGTGCAGGAACCAGCGCAGCCGGCGTCCAGTTCCAAACGCAGCAGGACGGAGGCTGCGCCTATCTCACAAGACGGCGGTGTTCGCAAGTCAGGCCGTCTCGCCTTGGAAGGAGAGGAGGGCAGAGCGAGGGCGCGGGAGTTTACTATCTCAAACTACAAGGCGAAGAAAATGACAGTGTCTGCTAAGGCGACCAAGACGGCTAAGATGGGTGTTAAGAAGTAGAGCCAGTGTTTGAGGCAGACTAGATTCAGCAAGGTGTTTTGCGAGCAAGGGACATATTATTACATTGTGACGAGTGAATATAATACATTGCGATCATGCGACATTGACGAAGACGCCTCAGATATACCTTACTGCTCACCCGCGTTCACGGTGGGACTCGGACCGGCCGTCTAGACGTTTTCGATCGTGTTCGGCGCCGAGTCCACATCCATCTCGCGGTCGTCTCCTTGGGGCGCTTCGCCCAGAGTCGATGATCCAGGAACAGCTTCACCCGAGTCCGCTGGGGTCCCCAGCACGTTGTTGGGTGCGGACTCCGAGGCCGGCTCCGGCTGTGAGTCCACCGTCTTGGGCTGGCTGGTCATAACGACCGCAGGCTCACCGACAGCTCGATCGATCCGAGGCTGGCTGGCGGGGACGGGAGCGCGTACCTGCGCGACGAGCTCCCTCAGGTCGTTCTGCTGCATCGCCACGCCTTGCAATGCTGCCTGCCAGCCCGCATGCAGCGCGTTTCCCTCCATCCTGACCTGCCGGACCGCCCTGTCCACCGCGCTGTGCACGTAGCCTGCGCTGGCCTGTTCAAACTCGCTTCTCGAAGTGACGAGGTCGTCGACCTTGGCCTCAAGCGACGCAATTTGGTCCTGATGCTCCCGGGTGACGTCCTCGAGCTGCTCCTGAAGCGTCTCGACCCGGTGGTGCAAGGCCCGGATAGCCACGTTCTTCTCGTTCGACGCCCGCACCAGCTGGTCGATTGCCAGCTCTGCCCGAGTACGCATGATTCGCTCGCCCTCGACTGCCTTAGTGAGTTTTTCCCAGCTCACACCCAGCGCGCCCATCTTGGGCCTGAGATCCCAAGCCACCCTGAGGTTTTCGTCGATGGCGCGGAGCTGGGCGTCCCGATCGTCTGTGAAGTACGGTGTAGCCTCCACGAGCTTCAGCGCCTCCAGTGGACCCAAGGAGGCTGGGCGGAACGAGGCCGGGGTGCTCGACGAAGGTCCGGGACGCTCAGGCATGCGTACGAGCTCGAGTTCCGCTACAACCCACCAGATGCAGGTCATCACTACATGATTAGCGATTTCCAGTCCTAAAACGGAATAACTTACAGTCCTCCCTGTCGTACACTCTCACTGTACTTGGAATTGCCCGCGAGGCGGGAGCCGCTTCAGGGGCGGGCTGGGCAACGGATTGACGCTGTTTGCCCTTGATGCGCGCGGAGCTCCGCCTGGATGCGTCTTCCTCGGCCTACAAGGCGGGATTAGTTTGATGATAACGGAAAGGACTCGCGAGGCGGGCTTACCTTGCTGGACGGATCAACGTCCATGGCATTGCCCTCGCCCAGCGCGGCTTCAGCCATCATACGCTGGTCGACTTCCTCCATCGGATGGTCGACAGTTTGCTCGTCGTCCGTCGCTGTCTGCTGGTGTCCCGCCGGTTGAAGCCAATCCACATCCCCCGCGAGTTCGTCCTGCTCCTCGACAAGCTGGTCCTTCTCCTCCTCGGCGTGGTACTCCTCGTCCTCGCGCTCCGAGGCCGGACTCGGCGGAGCGACTATCTTCTTGCTCTTCTTACGGGGGGGGGTGAAGACTGCCAGCGCTTCTTCCTCCTCCTCCTCCTCCTCGTCCTCGTCCTCCTCCTCGTCGTCGACCTCCTCGTCCTCATCCTCGCTTGACGCGGCAGCCTTCGCTTTACCCTTGCCTTTCTTCGAGCGGCTTGCCTTCTTCTCGGCCTTCTCGGCCGGAACCTTGACATCCGCATCGAGCAGGTATTTGGGCCCCTTGGCCTTCGCGGCCGCTTGGAGCGCCTTCGCCTTCGGGCAGATCTTCCCCTCCCAACCGTCCAGCGTCGCAAGGTCTTGAACGAACTGGTCGCGGGTTGGGTTATATACATCAGGGAAACCGCCCAGACGCTTGGGCCCTCTGAAGAGCAACAGAGAGTGCTTGAGAGCGCCAAAGTAGCCAAACCGCCTCAACCAATCTCAACACAAGTGCCTCGGTCTCAAGAGGAATTGTTTGACAAAAGCAGCTTTTTATTTTATTTATTCCTTGAAGTGCGTTTTCAACTGCCATTTGTCAGGGCAGCCCAGCATTGGGTTTCCCACTCAAAAAGCAATAATAAACCGGTTTGTGAGTGATAAAACCAACGTCCAATTCCTACTCATTAAGAGGTTGAGATTGCTAATCAAGAGCTCTCAAAGTGTGCATATTGCGCCCATAGCACGGTTATAAATGGATCATGATGCACTTCAGTAGGCAATGTGAGCGAACAGTTCATTGCGGTATCGACGGTGCATACAGTAATACATGATCACAACACGTAGCTATACAGGGTATACCACCAGCTTGTGGGTATGAGAGCGATGTTAGTAATGCAGCTGGTGTTTGAGCCCAGTAAAAGCTACAGAGAGGCGGAGAGGACAGCGTAGGCATGGGCGCAGAATGACAGGAGTCCGAATACAACGTACATGATGTAGAGAACCTCGACGAAGATGATCGTACACGAAACGGAGCGTGAGACGTACTGCCCTTCGGTTCCACCACCTGACAAATGTACACCACAATACAAGACCTATTCAGCTTCAGAAATTATGTTCCATGTCAGACCGTCAGTGAACGCACCGGCACACGTCCTACACGGCCTCTACGCGGTCGACGGGGCCTCTGCATCCCCTTCACGCTCTTTAGCCTGGCCTGACCCACTCGCCGAGGCTGCCGCCGCCGGCTCGTCACTAGCCTTCATGCCAGTGTTCTTCGGCGCCCACAGCTTGGAGATGCGCGAGATTGCGGCCGTAGGAATGCCACGGGTGACGGTACTAGGCTCAGCTGCCTCGTCGTCGTCGTCTACGCTCGTGCTCGAGATCCCTGCAAGCCTCCTGAGATACACCATGTTGTGTCAGCACAGCGTCAGCAACAGGCTATGTACTTACCGTATGGTGCTCGCCAACGTCTCGTCCATAGACTTGCAGAACCGAGCACAGCCCTCGTCGTACTTCGACGGGTCACTCGGGTCCGCACAGCGCCGCAGGTTGTCGATGCAGCCCGTTGTCGATGCTGCACTGGACGAGCATCTTGAAAGGATGGATCGCGCGTCAGCAATGCCGGACGTACAGAAAAGAACAGCGCGGAAGACGTACCGCAGTCGCTGGACGCGTGTCGGCCACATGCGCAATCGCCGGGACGGGCTGCGTTTGGATAACAACCACGCAGCGCTCGCGCCATCCCACTGCTCCAGCACAACGAGCCCGAACGCGCGACTTTGCAGCCGTGCAGCACCAGTCCGTTGCGCGACGCCTACGACGACCGCGAGCACGCGGGCCAATGCCCTGCGTGCAGACACGGCCGACGAATGGGTGGCGGGGCAGACAAGCGTCGAGCGAGGAGACAACCGGGGAGGGAAGCGGGCTGGCAAGTGGGCATGCGAGCGGGCGGCCGGTTGAGTGGGCGGGCAAGCAGGCAAGGAGACGAGCGGGAAAGGTCAGCGCATTCACACACACTGGATGTGTGTTGCCGTGACACTGGCCCGCGGAAGAGGCGCGTTAGCACGCGCAATCAGGCCGAGGGCACGACGTACGTACCAGGACCACGGGAAGAGCGGATGGCTCGAGATCAGGAGGACGAGGACGTGGGCTAGGAGGTACGTCAGGCAGTGCGGGTGTTCATCGACACAGACACGTATGCACCTCACTGAAGTGTGCTTGACCAGGACAGACACGCGGAGATGTGCGTCTGGACCAGTGCCCCGTGCAGCGACATGCACCGAGCGACCTGTGAAAACATGTCAGCTCGAAGCCATACACGATCGGACGGAGGAAGGGCGTGATCAACGCAAGAAGGCTCGAACACGGCACAAAGAACGCAGCAGCGAGCAGAGAGCGACGAAGAGAGTGGCGATATTACAAGGTGAGAACATTGCTCGTCTCCCTGTCCATGCGCTCACGAACGGCTGAGACGTCGCCACATGGGCATGTTGCTCTAGAAGACGACAGTGCTGCTCGTCTATGTGTGCGAGCTCCGGTCCCCTCGACGAGTCTGCTGGCGCGTCCTGGCCCATGGCAAGCACGACAGACCTGAAACGGTTCGGGAAGCTGCCGTGGCTCGACAGCTTGGTCTCCACGTTGCGCTCCCGTACCACCTCTCCGAGTTGGATGGCTAGTCGATGTCGCTCAACAAGATCAGCATGGCACTCAAGTGGGGCGGGACAGATGGGGAGAGTGTGACGCCGCGCGGTCATGATTAACCCAGGGAACCCAACTGGCGCACTGCTCGAGCGGAAGACAATGCAGGAGCTCGTGCTGATCGCGGACGAGGTCTACCAGGCAAATCTGAATAACCCTGACGAGCACCCATTTTACTCATTCAAGCAGAGCATCTGCCCGCTCTGACCCGCCGGCCTGCCCGTAGACCCGCCGACCCACGCATACCCGCACATAACCTGTACTTGCTGCGGTGGGTCTGTACCCGGGTGGGTAAGGGTACGGGTACACCTCGGGATACCTGCGGGCGTACCCGTGCTTGACAGTGACGTGTGGCAGTGGCAGTGGCAGTGGCAAGTTGAATGGGCTGATGCTGAGGCTGAGGCTGAGGCTCAGAGTCTGGTAGTGGGGCCATTTCCATGCGATACTGGCCCTGCATTTTGATGCACATATTGTCATTGTCATTGACGGTTGTATTGTACAGACATGTAGTGTTCCGGGTCGCAAAAGTCATGTACAATGTACTATAATGAGGCGCAAATAATGTACATTCTTCACAGTGCTTGAAAATGTGGTGGAAATCCCATAGCTCGAGACGAGTGTGCTTGTGAAGCGTAGTGAACGGTTGAGACGTACAATCAATTATTATGTGCTTATAGTAGCTACTGAAGCAGATATGTAGTTTTGGTGGTGTCAAGAACTGCAGAATCGACGTATTGACATACGTAGACCACGTGCAGAGATGCTCAACCGGGTTCTGTCAGTCATAAACCGCTCTTTGTCGCTCATATCCCAGTTCATGCTAATTGGGAAAAATCCCAAACCATTTGGCGCCGAAAGTGTTTTTCCTGATGTAGCGCCCGAGGTGGTGGCGCTTTGCCGTCCTTGATCAGCTTGGCCGCGAACTTGCGGAACCTCGCTCCCATCGTGGAGGACGTGGAGCTTCGATATCCCTTGCCGGTGATAAGGTTGAAGGGGACGAGCGAGCAGGACGCGTTGAACGGGGGACCGCATGTGTCGCATCGCGCCGGGTGGATCATCTTCGCGCCCTTCTCGTCTTCCACCGGCGTGTACTTGCAATCTCGCCCCGTCTTTTTGCAAGCGACGCAGGGCAGCGGCTAGACCTTGTCAGCCAGGCAGAAACCGAGTTAGAGACGTTTCGCTCACCGAGATCTCGTCCTCCAGATTATCCTCATCCTTTGCATCCTTCCTTGTCAGTAAGGCAAGAGGGCGATCAGGGAAGTTTACTTACTGAGTCCTCATCGTCCGTGTTGTCCACGAACGTAGCAGTCTTCTTTTTGCTCGTTCCCGCGGATCCGGAGGCAGACGCTTGGCTCTTCATCCCGACGCCGGGGTCTTGGCCTTCGACTTCGCCGGCGGAGGTGCCGTCTTGGTCGCGGCCGTCTTGGTCGCGGCCGTCTTGATCGGGGCCGTCTTGGTCGGTGCCGTCTTGGTCGGTGCCGTCTTGGTTTGAGCAGGGGTCCTCCGGAGGACCTTTTTCTTAGGCTCGGGAGGAGCGTCCTTCTTCCCGGCCGCTGCCGACGAGCTCCTGCTCTTCGCTGGCGGCCTCGATGCTCGTGTCTTCGGCTCGGGGACATCCACCTCGGGCTCCCCACCGTCAGAGACCTGAGCGGGCGAGTCCGCTTTCTTGCCCTTGGCCTCAACCCTCGACCGCTTTGGAGGGGGTGGCTTCGCCAGGTCGTTGTCGGTCTCCGAGACCTTCTTCTTCGGCGCGGTTGACTCCGCACGCCGCCGTTTGCTTCCTGTGCTCGGTCCGGGCTGTGGGTCCTGAGCCGCCTCGTTGTCTCCGTCCTGCGCGTGCGCAGTGTCTTGACTACTTCCGTCGTCGGGAATCTCAACTAAAGTTGATGTCAGTCTAAACGTAAGAAACGACGCGGTGTCGTAGCCCATTGAGACGTACACTTATCCCACCACCCAGCCAAAGAGTCCACCATGATCTGGGGAACGGGAAGATCGGCGACCAACTCCTGCGGAATTGACGTCAACTCGCGGTCGTCGTCCTCCTTGATGTTGGCCAGGAAGAAGTCGAGCTGGCCGATGTACTCCTCGTACGCGTATCCGACGATCCTCGGCATTAGCGCGCCACCTCTTGCAGCAGCGACAATCGCGTCGCAGTTGTCGTACTTCAAGACGCGTCGGTTGTCATTATTCGAGTATAATGCATGTTTACTTACCAGAATCTTCCCCACTTTCTTGGTGAGGTCCAGAAGGTCGGCAGGCGACGCGTTCACCGCGGCCTTGAGGTGCGCTGCAAAGCGCTGCATCGTTTTGCGAGCCTTGGACGGGTCGCTGAAGTCGAACGTGGGGCAAGACATGGAAGCAAGACGGGAGTGCGAGACGAGAGAGAGGTGAGAGTGGCTGGCAGAGATGCGTATGAAAGGAAGTAGGACGAAACAGGCCAGTCCACAAGCGGTTCGTCTGAGTTTGATCGAGGTGATCGGCATCACGTGTCAGAACCTCCGTTCTGTGGCTTGCCACGTGAGCTGTGACGCGTCAGATTGATGGGTGGCTGACCGTCGCCTGGTCTTGTTTCGTCTTTTACTGCAGTGTACTGCGGTCTCAGTAGCCTTCGTAGCACGTTATCGTCAGATCAGGTGGTAAGTAATAACATGTGGACGTTTTGGAACCGCCTTAAAACGAACAGAATCTCCTTAGCAGATGTCCGGCAAGCGACCTTCCTCCCCAAGTTCCTCAGCTCCGGGCGCTGATAACAAGCGGGCCCGTATCATAGGTGAGTTGTGAATCCTTTGGGTATCACCCAATACACTGACAATGTCTAACCTGCTTGTTTTGCTCGCTTTGACAATCCGCGCCTAGACCGCCCCGGCTCAGGCACAAGAAAGGGGTCTGGGACGGGCAAAGATTATCTCGGGCCCGAGCGTCCCCGTCTTGCGCCCATCGGTGTCATAGCGCAAGACAGGACCGCCGCACCGCAGGCCGCCGTGCCTCGTGAGGCGATCGACTATGCGGGTCGCAACCGACCCCGCCTTGCTCCCATCAGTCTCGTCCCAGCGACGAGGACGGTCCCCGCCTCGGACGTCGGCGCGCCGCAAGGGCCGATCGACTACGCGGGTCGCAACCGACCCCGTCTTGCTCCGGTTGGTCTGGTCCCAGCGACGAGGACGGTCCCCGCCTCGGACGTCGGCGCGCCGCGAGGGCCGATCGACTACGCGGGTCGCAACCGACCCCGTCTTGCTCCCGTCAGTGTCGTCCCAGAGACGACGACGGTCCCCGCCTCGGAAGTCAGCGTGCCGCGAGGACCGATCGACTACGCGGGTCGCAACCGACCCCGCCTTGCTCCGGTCGGTCTCGTCCCAGCGACGAGGACGGTCTCCGCGCCGGACGTCAGCGCGCCGCGAGGGCCCGTCGACTACGCGGGTCGCAACCGACCCCGCCCTCCTCCCATCGGTCCCGTCCCAGTGCCCAGGACGGCCCACGCCTCGGACGACAATGTATCGCTGATGAGCCCCTAGCTCACCTACCCACCGAAAACGCCATTTACGGTCGATACAACGATACACTAAGTCAGAACGGTCGACGCGCTATCCGTCCGTTCGAGGGAACCGTCCAATGTTCGAAGCTCAAGTGTCGATGTTCGGAACCCTTAGTGGCAGAGGCAAGCGGTTTAGAAGCGTCGCTACATTGGTAGGACTCCGGGGCAAGTACATGGCTACGTCAAACTAACTAGTGACGACCTCGGCAACTCTCGTATCTATGGCCTCGACCTCCACACCCATGACCACCACCCCTACCCCTACGAACAGACGGGCCGGTGTCGGAACCACGGTCAGTGTTGACGCGCTCGAGCAGGCTTTCGAGCAACCCAACGAGGGTACCGTGCGTGCGGCGCTGGTCGACTGCGATGTTGTGGATCGCTCGACCCATGGACTCGAGGTTGTCGGGCAGCTGGCGAAAGTCGGACAGGATCAACGACTCGCGCTGATACTGCGGGTTCGCGAGGGGACGACGCTCGGCCTGGTTGACTTGTTCGAGCAGTACCAAGGTCTCGGACCACGCGATCGTAGGGTAGGGCGAACCTAGGATGTCTCCCTGGTTGCCATCGCGGTGAAAGACCTCGTCGAGGTAACGCATCAACTCGTCGATCTCGGGGAACGACCTAGGAGCAGGAAGCGTATCGTTCGCCAGCAGGATGGCCCGGCTGCGGGACTCGAACAAGAATCGCTGTTCGAAGGTCGGTTCGATGGTTCGAACGATAGTCTAAGTTCGGAGGCACGTACGATCATCCAACGGACTCCGTGAGCCCAAGCCAGCCACTCTCCGGGACTGTTGGCATCGTATCGCGGCTCGACAAGTCCCTCGGTCTTGAGGACCTCTAGGAGGCGGTAGTAGCGGGCAGCATACGCTTCGGAAGTTGGGTCGAGGTGCGGCATGTTCGTGTAAGTCAGGCGAACTCCTGCCGCTGTCTCATATCTTCGAGGACTGTCACCGGCTCCGGTTATGACCTTCGCCGTTCGGGGGCGGTCGCCCGTTATGCGGAACCTGCGGAAGGCCGAGTTGGATGCTCTCATGTGTTAGTAGGTCCGGGTCGAGCGTTGTGACATTCTCCGATTGGCTACTTTCCTTATCACTTTCATTCATCATTTCTTGTATTTCTCTTGGCTCTCTTGGTCTTCGGACCGTATTTTCCTGTATATACTCTGGGACTTGTTCCCTTCGAATCTCAGAGACCCCCCTACCCTCTCAATCTCACCTCGCGCCGGCGAGGTTCGTCAGCCAGTAGCGCAGAGCACGGGTACACCCGCGGGTGCCACGGCGCATACCCGTATCCGCACCCGTGAGGGTACAGGCCCGTCTACACGGGTACGGGTTATCGGCGGGTCAGGGCGGGTCGTGGCGGGTCATGGCGGGTCGCGGGTTCAGCACGGGTAGTGCACAGGTTCGCACAGGACCATCGATGCATATACATAGCACAAGAAATACATACATTCGTGACGCAGCAGCTCCGGGGCCGAGTCGACGTATCCATTCTGTTACTCATCGTCTGATCCACTGACCTCAATGACATCTGCACCTTCGCACCGCTCACACATCTCGGTACCGTCGTCCTCCTCTGAAGCGATCTTGCGCAAGTCGCGGTCCTTGATCAGGCCACGCAGGCTCCAATCACCGAGGCAGAGAAGGGCGCGGATCGACTGCGGCGACATTCCATTACGGATATGCGGTAGGATTAAGCGACCGCGGCTGAAGATGCGCTCGACATCGACAGATGTCGCTGCGATGGTGATCAATAACTGACAACTAATGGCTGACTCGGATGTTAAGGACGTACCGGGTATGGTCAAGAAACTCATGGCCATCCACGAAAGGTTCGGATACTGACCGCGATGTTCGTACCACCATTTGATAGGGTCAGTTGTAGCCTCGATGTCGGCCGAGAGGTAATGCTTGAGTTCATCTGCGACATTGGCTGGCTTTGATGGGGCAAGAGCTGGCATGTTGTCGAAGATATTCTTCGACTAGCATGCCAGGGTAAGTATCAGGACACACAGAAACATATAATATACGCACCTTGGAAGCATGATCATCCTCGTCATCCTCGCTCTCATCATCCCCAGTAGCCTCGTTCGAGCTCTTGGTGCCGTGGCGAGATAGCCAGTCGGCATACCCATCACAGACAAGGTTCTCGGCCGTCTTGATCCAATCGTCTTTCCACTTCGCATTCTTGAAGTAGGCCAGCTTGTGGCGAGGATGAAGCACTAGGAGATGGTGAGTTTAAAATGTGTGTGGATAAACCGAGACTCACCCATAGCAATGCGGTATATAGTCGAGTCGTCAGTCCGGCCGTAGTAGCGGTTGAGAGTACGCTTCGCAAGCTTCACAGCAGCACGGATGGAGGGCAAGATGTTCGGGTTCAGTGAGTAATTCGTAAGATGCTCGTCCAACAGATCCATGGCTGGTATGACCATGGCGAGGTTGGGCGTATCTCGCGAGAAGAATTGAGTGCCATCGTAGAATATCTAGCGCAGCGTCACGTCAGTGCGGTGCACGGGTGACAGGTGTGACCAACCTTGAGAATGTCACACAGCTGAGTCACGATCTTCCACTCGCCGTTGTCCAACTCAAGTTGTCTCAACTCCATGGCCCTGTCACCGGTGAGTCCGTCAATCGCACTTCGGTATGCTAATGCGAATACGATCATCTCGTAGGTCGAGTTCCAGCGGGTTCGAACGTCACGCGGCATCATGTTGATGGCAAGCTTCAACTTCTCGAGTATCTTCTCCCATGCCGGGAGGAGTTTCGTCGACGAGTTGATGACGGCATATGCGAACTTACGAAGCTAATACTGAAGGGTGAGTCCAAGAGGATTGTGCTGGTGAATAACTCACTTTTGCGAGGACGAGCTTGACTGGC